GAAATCAAAGAAACCCAGGGAAAGCTAAAATGATCTTCCAGTGCGAAGAACCAGGGATCTTGACACAGCGCTTTCGCTTTAAATCAATCTCGCTCATCTGGTCTGCCCGCCCCCTGAGCTCGAAAACCTGGTGGAGGACGAATAGAAACGCCGGTGTCTCTTGTGTGCCTCATTTATGCTGGTGGCATACCGTACCGTATTGTGCTGAACCCAATATGAGATAAGTTGGCTATAGTCCGAACAGAGCCAGAGGAAATGCAAGACGATAGAGGAGTTCGCTCCGGCTGTTATTTTCGTTGAAGAAGGAGGATGTAAATATGGCCACAACCACTTGCCACACACATAGTAGGAGAGCAATACGTCAGGTGTTCTTTTATTTGAGTTACGCATTAAACGATCATGTACACGTATCTTATTCATGATTGTTTTAAGGGATTAGCACTATCCCCATTGTAGCGACCTGACTACAATACCGACGACACAGGTGAAACCTTTGAGAGTTGTTTGTGATCAACACTCGACATAATACATGCCTTGATTTCATTAAGAGTTAGACATCACAATTATGAGCACTACCACCTTAGGAAAGAGATTCGAAGTAATCCTCCATTATTATAATTAGTGCTCCCATAGTCAAACTTTCAACTATGTTATTACCCATTGAACCTATTTCTTGGAATCTCCAATCTTGAGGTCGGGTGTCCATTGCGGTGACTATCTTTATAGGTCTTCCTTTCCTCTTGGTGATTTCATCTCTCAATGATTCCAACACGTACATTCATCTCTGAGATGATTTCGATAATTATTCTGATGCGCCAATCTATTGTTCTTTGCATATATGCTATGAGGAACAACTCAATCAACACTCATTAATAGAAAAAAAATATTTTCTTACGTTGCAATATTGGCTTTTAAAAAAATTCTCTCCCACATTTTGAGATATTTTGTATAACATATATACTTTCATCTCTCAACATTTTTCACGACCATAAGTCATGAACACTACAACAATTTGATATGTCATAATCAAAATTGTTAGATATGAGGAAAATCAAAACATCACAAAATACAAATTAATTATTCCAGCAATAATTAATTTAATTTCACATAATTATATTATATTTTTTTAGAGCTCCACAATTATATTATAGATTCCACCAAGAAAATATTTTCTGATAGTTTTCTATATAACATCACATCATTAATTACACTCGATAACACATGAGTATTTAACCAATCATAAATTTACAATTTCTACCTCCAATAATATGTATTAATTTTCAAATACATGTTAACACATAAATTGTACAAGATAGACATGCTGAATAAAATAATTTTATTTCTTTATGTAAGATAAAACTATATATGTAAATATAGTTTAACAAGATCTCAAACCACCGTGAAAATATATATGCAAATATAGCCATCAAGATTTTAAACCATCTTAAAAATCAATATGATTACTAACTTTATTAACATTGCAATATAATTACCACATTAGCGTGTAAGACTTTTCTACCCTTCTTACACCAGCAAAAAAGGAAATTATACGCCAATTTAATATAATTCTCAAGTTAATAAAAATTCATGGCTAAATAAAATTCTCAATAACAACCTAATTTAAGGTATGAGATCATAACTTACATTTTTAATTTAAGCGGCATCACCAAAACATATAAGAATTGGAAGAAGTTTTGGAGATCAAAGGCCCTTCCTAAAGCCAAAATTTGTTGCTGGATCGGAAGATTTTCAACAACATCACCTCCACTAAAACAAATCTTTTGATTAAAGGAATAGTAACTGACCCTTGGTGTGTTTTTTGGAGGACGAAAGAGGAGACAAACTGCCATATATTTTGGAATTGTCAGGTAACAGAAGACATCTGGGCTAAATACTTTAAGTCTAACTTAGATTTATGGTGTGTTGACAGGAGCAACTGGAGCGTACAAGACTACTGGAGTTGGCTGGTAGAGCATTCTACAGAAGGAGATATGACAAATATTTTGACAATCATGTGGCAAATTTGGGAATGCAGGAATAGGGTGGTGTTCTGTGGTGAAAAGCCTTCTTTCGAGGGTATTTGCAATTTAGCAATTATGAAGCAGAAAGAGAAATGTGCACAACCAACACACAAACATCAGTCCGAGGTGATAAATTGGATCCCCCCTCCGTTACATACCTGGAAGCTCAACTCTGATGCAGCCTAGAATGATGGTCTCGGAACAGGCGGAATCGGATGGGTGATTCGAGATTGGGATGGTCACATTGGGTGTGCAGGTTGTCTTTTTACAGCTATCAAACAAGAGATCAAATTTCTGGAAACAATGGCTATTTGTGAAGGTTTTAAAGGTTTGAAAGAAGGAGGTTTTTACTCGAGTATAGCTGAATCGGACTCCCTCGAGGTGGTTCGTTTGCTGAATGGAGATGCTGAAGACCTCATTGAGATTCGATGGTTGATCAACGAGGTGAAATTTCGTGCTTTATACGCCGGTGTAATTTCGATTCACCATATTGCGAGAGTTGGGAACGATTTGGCTCATGAAATTGCACGTTGGGCAATGGTTACAGAGAGATCGCTAGTGTGGGAGGCGTGTTCCCTGCAAGTTTGTTGCTTTAGTTCTTTTATGGGGTCTTATTCAAAAAAAAAAAAAAAATGTAATTATCACACGTGAGCGTTGCGTACAAATAGGGAAAATTATTTCTAACATGCTAAATGAAATGGCCATAGGCGAAATCACTAACATTTTAGCATGCTATCTCACACAAAAAACACAATAATTATGATACTCAAAATATGAATCGATTTGAATTAAAAATCGATAAGTCCTCGTAAGTCACATAAATTTTAAAACTCTTTATGTCCTAACTATTAACCGGATAAAAAACTTAACAATTTTCAGCTGAATGATAATGAAGTAGTATATAGAGTTTGTGGTTTGTTGCACGATCCAAGAGTATTTCTACCACAAGTCTCATGAATGATAATTAAAAGTACATTAAATTCAATTCCATCTAACAAAAGAGAGGTAATATGTAATATATATGGGCTCCAAACGAGTGAATAATTATACTTCACTGGTAGAGTACAGAAAGATCAAGATAAGAAATCCGTCCAAATTACATGGGGGAGAATTAACAGATTTCTCCTGGATTAAACTCCCAACTATCTTTAACATAAATTTACCAAATTAAAAGATTTTTGAGATGATATCTTCGGAGGGTTATTTTTAAATCTTAATTTCATAAATGTCTTTAGTTTTTAAGATTTTCACTTTTAATGTTTGGATTTTTTATTAATGACCATTCTTTGCTTTTTATTTTATTATAATTTTTAAATTTAAAAGATTTGAATCGTTAATTTGTAATTATATTCCTTTAATTAGCGTGGACCCCATTCAATTTTTCAACACTAATCCCTCAAATGTCTCTTTCAAAAAAGATTTTGTTAAATCAAAGTTTTAAATATTTTTTAATCCGTCTGCTGCCATCTCCGTGCGTTGTTTCCAGTAGTCGGCTGCCCTCTCGCCAACCACCGTGTTTATTCCCCGTCGTCGTCGTTTCAGACCTTCAGGGCTTCCGTCAACGAGGTATTGATTCCTTCTTCCCCAGAGACGTCCAGACCTTCAATTTCCGTCGTCAAATAAAGTTTCCGTCGACGTCTTTGCAGGTTTCCGACGCCGTGTAGTGCGTTCCCCGTCTACTGTCCCCTTCTGTTTATACCAATCGTAAGTTAATAGTCTTCCCGTTAAGATTAGTATATATGGGGATTTTATTTATGTATATAGAGAATTGAAGTTTTAAACGTCTCATAGTCTTAGTCTTCCCGTTTATATTCGTATATATGAGGATATATTGTATATGTGTATATATCTTATAGTTATATATACATAATATATGATACTAATCTTTTGCTGGTCTCAAATATATAATACGGTGATATATTGTATGTGTGTATATCTTATATGTGTATATATCTTATAGTCATATATACATAAGATATGAAACATAAGTTCCATTGAGATTGGTACCATATCTTATGTACTAATAATTATAAAATATATACACATAAGTTTTATACACATATATACAAAACCGAACGAGAAGACTAGTACCTTATTATTGGTGTAAACAAAAAAGGGACCGTAGACGAGGAACCCATTGTTCGACGCCGGAAAGGAGAAGTAGTTCAGCAAGAATGTGTCGCCTAAAATGTTGTTCGCCGACGGAAAATTAAGGTCTGAAATGTATGAAGACGAAAAATGGGATATAACTGAAGTAGACGTACAATGACGGAAAATGAGACGGGGAACGTAAAAGACGGGGGCTGGAGACGGAAATTGAAGCAGAGGAAAGGAAACTTACCGATACGGCCGACGAACACGGTGGTGTCAGACCGAAACAGTCACGGCGGCGTCCAACGACGGGCGACGAACGGTTACAAAACTCAGAGACGGCAGCAGACGGAGGAAGTGAAAAAGTCTCCGATTTTGAATTTGGGGATTTTTAGACAGGATTTGGGGGATATTTTGGAAGGTTTTCACATTTTGGGAATTTAGGATTTTTTTTAAAATATTTTAGGGTTTTAATTTGTTTTGGAAAGTATCATTAAGCTAAAATTATGAGATCCAAATTATAACCTTCCAATTAATCAATTTTGCATTTTAAAATGAATTTAAGGTTGTTTCGTGTAAATTCTATACATTCCATCATTTTATGTAATTAGGATCTTTAAATCGTCTATGCTAATGCTAATCCCAAGATTTTATACGTTGAGGCCCACTCTCAAAATTATCTGCAACAATAGTTAATATAACAAAAAATTAGTCATATATTTAAATATATTAAAAAGGAAAATCACCAAATTCAAACTTCCATGCTTCTATGTTTGGTTGACTGGAGGATTGAACGTCGAGAATGAAGAACACTGCCACGCTCATCCTTTTCCAATTTCTAATTGCTTAGCCATTACTTCTTAAGCTGCTGCTCAATTTGTTGTAAAATCTAGAGAGGAAATGGCAGCAATGAAGTTTGGTTTTCATGGATTCTTTTTTTAGTACAACATAGGAGGAGATCGAACACTCAACCCTTTAATTAAAGATATATGTCAATTATTGTTGTGAGCTATGTTGGTTTTGGCATAAAACGATTGTTGAGGTTGAAACAAATGGATGAAGAGTTCTGTTGTGGATCGTCAACCCACAAACAACCTTAGGTGTCATGGGGTGGCACATCCAAATATTTTGTTTAGGGGGCTTGATAGAATGTAACTTAAATAATTAATCTTCAAATTATAGATTTATTTAGACTCTGTAAAACTTAAATTAAAAATTATATAAAAGAATAATAATAAAATCTTGAAAACTTGATAATTTTCGAGGACTTGTTGGTCAAAGGGGGAGGTCCTGATGTCGGGACGGAGCCCTATATATATATATTTTTTGATACAATAATTTATATAAAGAACGTTACAACTTGTAAAATGGAAAAAAAAAATTGAAAAGGCAAGTAAGTCAAAAAGGACCATGGATAGATAGATATAAAATTCATAAAATTTAAAAGAAAAAATGTAATGGTGGCACCATATTTTTTGTTCACTTTTAAAAACAGACATATTTATATAATTTTTAATGAATATAAAATTATATTTATTATTTACATATAGTAATTTTTTGTTTTTTTTTAATTTTTAACTGACATAAATAAAATTGATATATTTATATAAAAAATTTTTCTTTTATATATTTGTAGCTGCGCTGCATTTAAAGAAATAACTAAAAAAATTATATAAAATAAGAAGAGCCGAATTTCGAAATCGACTACATATACATAGAATCTCGAAAACGACTATATATATATATAAAATAATTTATCATTTGCTGTGATTTCATAGATCCGCCCCTGGGTGTCGTGCAACCTTTTGTTCGTGTTCATTCCCTGCCGCAATCGCAAGCTCCACTGCTCCCGCACCCTGCTGAAATTTGTTCAGAGCTTTTGCTATAGAGCTACGGCCGGCCGGGCACAAGCAACTTTTCGATGCCGAGCAAGGCCACACACACCCGCCGCGAATTTGGCATCATGATTATTTGCCGTCATGATCCTTACTGCACCAAACGGATTGTCATAATTGTCCACACAATGGTGATAGCATTCTCATTTGCGAATCATCTGGAGGTTGCATTCTGCACATCAATTCGCATTAGTTGATGCACATTCTTTGTTTACATTCATTGGAGATCATTAGCATAAGCAAAACAACAAGATTAATGCATACATAACAGTATTAAAATTTCAGAAATTGCCGTGTCACACATCTTCTCCATGATTGTTGGAAATATATTAGGACTACATGAATTATTAACAAATGGTATCAGAGTCATAGTCTAAAGGCTAATTATTGTATGGGTGAAATCTTCAAATTCCAAAATGGATTTTTGGATGAACCTCATACTGGACAAAAACCGTTTGAACTTGAACAAGACAAGTTAATTTATCAAGTAGTGGAGATTGATCGAGGTAATTTCCACAATGTTTGATTTTTCTAGTAGTGCTTTCTCTAGGCACTACAAAAAATGTGAGTTTTAATGATGCGTACTGCCCATCATTAAAAGGAAACGATCGGGCGACCAACATTGTTTCAAGTGTCCTTATTTTGATTTGATAACGATCACTTTTAATGTCCATCATTGATTGTCACTAAACATGCGTCATTACCAATATCAACATAGCTCAATGACAATTGACATGTACTTCTTCATTCGAAATCGGTGGTTCGATCTCTCATATCACCAAATTGTTGTACTAAAAAAAGAACGCGCGTCATTACGTGTATCATTAAATGTGTGCCATTATATATGTGTTATTATATATGTCATCAATATTCGTTTTTATCACAGTAAAATGGTCGCCATTATTTGTGTAATAATTAAGTATAAGAAATGGTTGGTTCCCACGTCACTAACCAACAATAGTTCCTTCTTTGCTGAATCTATGCACAATAAATAATGTCTTAATAGTATTGTATATTTCCAACCATTAACTTGAAAGATTCTTTCATATTAATGAAAATGTCCACTCACCTTTTTCATTATTGGAAGGACTTTTAATAGTATTTATACAGATACAAGACTTTGAGAAATATTATAACCACTAACAGATACAACAACTAATTTTATAACAGAAAAGTAAATATAGTAGTAATCAATTTAATATCCCCCGCAAATGAACAGCCTAAGGAAGCATGAGTTTGGCTTTGAAGAACTCCAGTCTATCACAAGTAAGTGGTTTAGTCAACATATCAACAAGCTGCTGAGTACTAGGAACAAACTGCAATGTAAGATCTTTCTTTGAAAGTCAATTTCAATGTGTTTTGTTCGACTATGAAAGACCAGATTTTTGGCAAGCTGAAGAGCGGAAAGATTGTCATAGTATAGGACAGGCGGGTAAGGGCTGAAGAGACGAAAATCTTTAAGAAGCTGTCTTAGCCACGAAATTTCAACAGCAGTTGATGGCGAGAGCTCGGTATTCAGCCTCCGTAGAACTCCGAGAAACAGTGGTCTGTTTCTTAACAGCCCAAGATATGGGATTTGAGTCCAAGAAAACAACAAATCCAGTAGTGGATCGTCTATAAGAGGGGTCACCAGCCCAGTCCGAATCAGAAAAGGCTCGAAGCCTAAGAGCTTCATCAACAGAACCACCTTTCTTAAACAAAAGACTGACATGAAGAGAACCATTTATATAGCGCAATACCCGTTTGGCTGTAATCAAATGAGATGAAAAAGGGGCATGCATATGTTGAGACAACTTCCTAACAGAAAAGGCGATATCTGGTCGACTAAACGTGAGATATTGCAAGGCACCAACCATAGCCCCATAATTATGAGCATCCTCGACAGTACATGGGGAACCAACATCAGATGGAGCAGTAAGAGCAATAGTTGTATGACAAGGTTTGGAAGCAAGCATACCAAACCGAATAAGCACATCGCGAGCATACTTAGCTTGATTAACATATATCCCAATAGAAGAATGGCTAACTTCAAGCCCAAGAAAATACCGCAAGACACCCAAGTCAGTCATTTCAAAACGTAAACGAAGCTGAGATATCAACTGCTGATCAATATAAACATGATGACTGCCGATAATAATAATGTCATCGATATACAATAGGAGATATGTGATAGAGTCATCAAAATGCTGCACAAAAAGGGACGAATCAGTATGTGAAGCTTCAAAACCAAGGGTTATTAAATGAGAGGTAAAACATTCAAACCAAACCCAAGGAGCTTGTTTTAAACCATAGAGTGACTTTAAAAGCTTGCACACATAATGAGTATGAGAAGAACTAACAAACCCTTGAGGTTGTTGCATAAACACCTCCTCTTGAAGTTCACCATGGAGAATGGCGTTTTTAACATCCAATTGATGGAGAGACCAGCCATACTGTGCAGCAAGAGAGAAAATAATGCGAACAGTGAGTTTCAATTGACAACTGGGCTAAAGGTTTCTTCATAGTCAATACTGCCTCTTGATGAAACCCCTTGGTAACCAACCTAGCTTTATGTCTAGCAACACTTCCAACGAGATGATGTTTAACACGATACAACCATTTGCAGCCTATAGCTATTTTACCTGCTAGGAGAGGAGCAAGAACCCAAGTATTTTGCCGAATTAAAGCATCATATTCCTCAGCCATGACATCTCTCCAGAGAGACAACTTAAATGCCGCAATAAACGAAGTAGGTTCAACAGAGGAACTAGGTAGAGAGGTTTCCATGAACACTTTCCTCTTGGAAATACCCGAGTTAGCATGAGTCTGCATAGGATGAGTATTATGTGGTATAGTCACTACTGAAGGAGAATTTATCCCAGAAGTTGCAAAATCAGGAATCAACGGATCTGAAGCAGAGATCATAGGCATGACCGGACAAGGTGAAGAAGGTGTAGGAGTTGGTAATGAGGGATGTAATAAAAGAGAGGTATAATTTGGAGGAATAGGTGTAGTGGAATGGAAATTGGGTTCAATAGGTGAAGGAGATGGAGGATGAGGTGAAGTATGCGGGATAAGGGGCAAGGTTGGTATGATATTAGATTGGGCTGATGGATAGGAGACGTGGAAGGTAAAATAGGTGGAATGGGAGGCATGGTAGGTGACAGAGGTAAAGGATCAGAGGGGAAAAAAAAAAGAAAAAGGAAGTTGATACGAGGAAGAGGAAGGAGGAGAATTAGCAGGTGAAGAAGGAAGAGAAAAAGGAAATAGAGACTCATCAAAAATGACATGGCGAGAGGTATAGAGTCGACCATTGCTCATGTTGTAGCACAAGTATCCCTTATAATCTAACGGATAGCCTAGGAAGAGAGCTAGGAGATGATTTCGATCAACCAAAATTCTGAAACTTTCCTCTGCCAGTAAAACCGCGACCTTGCAAAATATTGGGATTTACATTCTGATGCTTGGAGGGAGTCTGATTTGCAAGAAGAGCAGAGGGAGAGGCAAAAACCTCATCCTTATTCAATTGTTGATTAATCGCAGACGCCTCAGAGACTAGAAGGACATAAAGCTCGTTGAAGGAGATAGGTTGCGAGCGGGTCCTCATTGACGTGCGGAAGGCATTATAATAAGAAGGTAATCCATTTAGGGCATAGATAGTGAGATCTTCATCATCAATTTGAACAGAAACATTGGTAAGTTTATCCTTCAACTCATTGATACGCTGGATATAAGAATCGATCAATTCATCATGCTTCTTGGTAATTGATTGCAACTCTGATCCGATTTAATACTGACAATATTAGTACGAGAATTTGAAGAATAGTGCTGGATTAAGGTTTCCCACACTTCCTTGGAAGATGAACAACCAACCACATAAGCCAACGCAGCAGGAGACAAAGTCGCATTGATGAGGGTCATTAGGACATGATCTTTTGCGATCCAGTCGCTGAATGCAAGATTAGGTGACGGAACAGCATCAGATGAAGAAGCAGCCAAGAACTCAGATGGTTTTGCTGTAGAGCCATCGACAAGCCCGTATAATTTGTGAGCCTTGAGAATAGAAGTTAATTGAAACTTCCAAAGAATAAAATTAGTATAATCAAGGCGAAGAAACACCAAATTACAGATATTTGAAAGCAGAAATATTGGTGCATTGAGA